GATGACAGAAGGTCCCTCCTCAGCCTCCCAGTACTGCAGGAAAACAAACACTCTTCAAGCCCATCCTCTCCAATCCGTGCTTCTCACACACATAAACTGCAGGAACTCTTTCAGTGGGACAATATTTGGTGCTGCTGTCCTTGAAAGTCACAGTGGAAACTTCTTTCAGGTTCTCACTCTACCTCCCCAGGGCCCCAGAGGCTGCTGAGCCCTGGGGGCTGAATCACTGCTGTGGTTACCATCGCTCACATCCAGACCCAGCTTCCCACTGCTGTGGGAGCAGGAATGGCTCTCTGGGGGAGAGGATCTGGAAGCGTTTCAGTGACGTGGGTTGAAGCAAGCAGAGCAAGCAGCAGAATTTCCTCACCACCTCCATCCAGTCCATGACTTCTTGGTTCTCAGTTTCCAAAGTGCTCCTCGGCTCGGTGTGAAACAAAGGCTGCCTCCGTCCTCCTCACCTGCAGCTGGACACAAAGCCAACCTGGACTTTTAAATACATAACCTAGAGCTTATCTGCCTGGTTTTGGGTGACTGTAACACGTCCTGAGAAAGACAACACTTAGAGAAAGCCTGGGAATTTCAGGCAGGGGCCCCAGATTGTCATCCGATGGCATTTAAAACATTTTGATACCTTTAAAAATTGTAGAATTACAGGATGTTTGGGGTTGGAAGTGACCTTAAAGATCATCTCATTCCAATCCTGCTGCCACGGGCAGGGGCACTTTCCACTAGATAATGTTTCTGAGAAGAAATATGGACTAAAAGCCCAAAACTAAAGGGATAATAGTACTCAAGTGTTCCAGCCATCAGATTAAGAACTACTTGGGGCTCACACCGTGGACATCGGTGTATGTTACTCATCTGTGTCTCACTGATTCCTTGCTCACAGCTCCACAAATCCTCTGGCAAGCAGCTCAATTCCCAGCAAGGAGAAGGTGTGGCAAACCTTAGAAGTTCTCCGTGCTACACAGCAACTAAAATTTCAGAAGGATGCATCACAGCACTCATCTGAGAACAAATATATTTAGTTGGCATGGAAACAGCAAGTTGGGCTGAGTGTGGTAAATATCCAGCAGTCATGAAAAATCGAGCAAGTCAGGATAATAAACATTAAAAATGAACACTGGCTGAATGCTTTTGAATCATGGCTCTTTTACAATTATCACTCCTGTTTTCATTTGAACATGAGTGAAATCCACTTAAACTAAGCTGTTCCATTTTATGCCAAATACTTCTACAACATCCTCATTCAGATAACTCCTTTCTCCCTTTTTTATAATCTATTTGAGGAAAAAGAAATTAAAGGGCTGGAAACCTCCATTGCTATTCTCCTTCATTTCCTCAGCAATATTAATGAATTGAAAATAATTGATTTTCTGTCTCAGAGAATCTCTCTCCCTTAAGATTATTTATGGAGTTGACTGCTTGAAGGAGTATGGTTGGAGTATCTATAGTGTTGCTACTTCAGTTTTTTGCAAACACAAGCAACTTTTCCCTCCTCTACTGTCCCCAAATTTACATCATACTCAATCCACCCCAATAGCTAACACATTAGAACAAGGAATGAAAGAATAGGTTGTTTTTTTTTCTGAGAAAATTCTTGCTTGTATTTCTCAAAAGAGAAATTCTTGCAGCTTTTCAGTAAACTGAGTTGGGGTGACTACCCTTAACAAAAAGGGAATTTGAAGTTAAACTAGGAATGTTTAAGAAATCTAGGTAGTAAAGCAAAAAAGAACACTACCATGAATTTTTATACAGGCCCCAATTCAGCAAAATTTGTTGCATATGCCCAAACTCCTGAATTCATTAAGGACATGCTTAAGCTCTCAGTGATGTGTGTCATTTTTAATTACTCACTCACAGTATGGAAAGTCTCCTGTATGAACAATTGAGATTTTTTTTTAGCTCTGACTGACAAATGCACAAAGCCACGTGACTCAAGGGAAACATTTTTAGTAGGATGAAAGATATTCCTGTCAGAATTAGATCCAGACACGTATCAGGGACAACCAAGGGATACACTCACTCCAAGGGGACACGATAAGGAACACAATCTAAATGGGATCACTTGACAGGAAGCTGATATCCAGAGTTATGTAGGACTGAGATATAAGAAACTTCCGTGCTGCTTTTAAAGGAAATGGTTTGGGCACACCCAAATTTCCTAGAAACCTTCCCAGACTGTTTTAACTGTCTTGGGACTATATATATATATATATTAAAAAAAAATATATATATATATATGTAAAAAATGTGAGTTACACTTCATTTGCTGCCAGTTTGCCACTTTCCATGAATACCATTATATGCCTCAAGAAGGTGGACATCTAAATTTTGAAGGAAACATCCACCAGTTTGACATGGGGGAAGATGATGCAGCTCTGAGACTCCAATCCCAAAGTGTAGCACTACTGAACAAATGGATCGTTGTCCTGGAAAACCAGGACAGAGACAGGACAACCTTTTATGGAAAAAAAATAAAATTATTTAGGCTACTCCAAGTGGGAGAAGTCCCCAGCACTTCTGAAAAATGTGATTGATTTGGAACTCATCGTCCAGAGAACGCTGCACAACTCAGATACAAAGTGAGTGCACCTACTCACACTGAGAGGGGATAGAGAAAGTAAACAGGAGAAAACACAAGTTCATCCAGGAACATGAAGTATGGGAATGGAAAAGCTCCACAAAAACAGCTGCTCCTCTCCAACTGCACACTCGGCTCTACACAGAGTCCAATGCACTTTCCCCCCTTTATTTATGGGACAGTTTGTCTCTGTCTCCCTGGATAATTATAATAATGAAAGGTTAAGTCTGTGTGATCACCAGAGGGCCACTGTAACAAAGAGTTAAAGCTCTGCAGCTCTGTCAGTCACTCTTGGAGACTGAAGAGTTATAAGGACACTGCACTGAAAAAAGGGCTAACATGGAGCACTAAGATACCACCCAACAAGCCATAACGAGAAACAGCTTTTTATTTTTAATTAAAAGCACAACAAAATGTTTTTTCATGTCTCATTCATTTGTTTGTTGTTGTTATAGAATCAAAACACGAGATTTTTTCCTTTTAATGAAAAACAGAAGCTGTTTAACCCTCTCTCCTCCTTATTTATAGACATGTAAAAGCTCGGGAAAGTGGCTTTTGTAACAGTGCCAGCACAAATCTCCGTGTTTTATGCAGTTCTGATTCAGGCAATGTTTGGTAAAAGCAGAAAACAAGTTACTGCCTTGAATATTTCAACTCCCTGATCAGCTGATGAGTCGTTAACTACTGTTAACACTTGATGAACATGTGTACAGGTGCCCTGGCCAAACTTAATCCCTGGAAACACGTCAGAGCTGTCGCTCTTGCACTTTTCTTCTGGAGAGATAAGCAGAACTAATGAATTAACCGGTCGTGGAGAAGACACACTGACAACTTTCAAAATGTTTGTCTGCAAAATAGACCAAAGCCACCTAAATAAAACCATCCTCAGTGGCCTCCAGTTCTCCAGAAAGTCCCAGTGGATGAATGGCAGGGCCAAGACCACTGACAAACTTGGACATGAGTGTTACCAAACTCTGCCAACACAACCTTGCAGGAAAAGCTCAGAGATGGACAGGGAACTGTAATTTAAATAACATTTCTGTTCTATCATACTGGGGAACCACATGTCACTGGCTGAGCTAGTCCTTCATTAGTTTAGAGTGGACAGGATAGCTCTGTAGGTTGGTTTGGAGCAGATGCTGAGGAAGAGGAAACCCTGAAGGCAGAAAGGGGGGACCACTCTGTGGATCTGCATGTCAGGCCCTCTCCCTCTGTATCTCACAAGCCATTTTTTTATTTATTCTTCTGGATCCTCTCTCAAAATGGGTCAGAAAACACCAAAGAAAAACACAAAAAATGGAGAGATTTGGAAGAGGATGTCCCTCATATGTGCAGCCAGTGCTGCTCCCTGGGAAGGACAACCCTGCCTTAAAGAGCTAATTGTCCTCCTTCTTTTCCAGGAGACTCTGAAGCCAAAATGCAAGGCTTGTAGGCCAACTCACTCACTACACCAAATTCCTCATCTGCTAAAGATGAACCTGGCCCAACATCTGGATCTGGGAGGCAGAGGGGGAAGAGAATGGAACAGTTAATTATCAACAGTCCGGAAATATGTGAATGTAAACACCAAGGGGGAAAGAGGATTCCCATATGCAAGTAGGACAACAACAGCCATGGAAAAAAAAATATGAAATTAATGATTATTAGTCTTCTACAACCATCCCAACTTATTATTCCTGCAGGTATGGAGTTAGAAATGCTTTATGTAGGATATAAGCTATTGATACTGTTTACTCAGCACCAAATAAAGTTCTCAAATGCTGCAAAACCTGATTTGTATTAGGAATCTACGAGTTCCTGACTCAGACATTCATCACCTGTATACTTGCCTGAATATTTCAATTTAATTTGGTTTGAATGCAGATCATTGACCTTCTGTTCCAAAACTAGTCTGTAAACAATATACACTATTTTGCTCAAAGCACACTAAAGCTCTGATTTCACTGAAAGTGTCCAGAAAAATTTCAGCACTATTAATCATATGAAATTGTTTACAGACAACATGTTAGGACAATGAATGTAGAAGATCAGGGATAAAGATTATTTTTAGCCCAGATACCATCCAATTATAACTCTCTTCATACAAACCAATAAACAACAGGTTTGAATAGTCTCAGAAACCTCTGTTAAAACAGTACAGCCAGTTGAAAATAGTCAGTGCAAAATAAATGCATCATTTAGCAGCCAGAATAGCTGAAATACCAACTTGCAATTGGAGAGCAGGAGATAAGTATTCGCCTGAAGGGTTCAGACAGTTTAATTCTCTTTTATTACCAACAAAACAGAGAAGAAAGCCGGCTGACAAATCTGCAGGGAAATATGTGCTTTTTTTTTTGCTTTGAAGGAAGGTATTATTTTTAACCATGGAGGCTCCTTGCCCAAGGGAAGGGGATGGGGAGGGGACAGCACCCAGTACCTGCTCCTGGGCCTTCAGCTCGTGGCGCTGCAGGTTCCTCTCGGCCGCGTACACCTGACTGCGGTAATTCTCCAGCTCGTCCTGCAAGGCCTGCAACGACACCAAGGGATGCAAAACACACCCTGAGAAACGTGGGGTGGCAGGAGAACTCACGGGTCACGTCACCCAACCAGCTGATCGGGAAAGTGGTGCTCTGGGAGGGGGTGCTCCCGGCGGGACTCAGCGCTGAGATGTGACACAGTCACTCCGGCCACTCTCTGAGTTGATCTGCACAGGTAGGACCAGTGAGTGAACAGCAGTTATGTCTTAATAGTTCCACTTCATTATAATCTGCAAGTATTCATACTAAAAATGTAATAAATACCTTCGGTGATTGGGAGATAAACGGAAGTATCGTGATTGCAACATCTGCACTTGCAAACGTCTCAGAGTTTTTCTGTCATCTTGTTCAACCTAAGGACAGTTTTGCAGTGTACCAATAATTCTGCCTTTAAGCCAGAAGAATAATCCTCTCTCTGGAAAACAATGCCTGGAATTTGCAGTGAAAATGTATTCCATATTCCTGGAATGGGATGCTGGCCGAGACGAGGGGCTCCCCTCCCGCCCCGCAGTCAAGTCTAGCATATGATCCACAAATGAGTATAAATGGCAGTAAATAAAAGGAATATTATGATCATGTCACTTTACCACAACTATCCAATCTTTATTTAGTTCAGAAGTAATCACTTCTAAACCAAGCCCATAAAATGCATGGACAAATTTGTTTTGTCATTATTGTTCTTCTTATATATTTATTTTTATTACAGCAGTCACTCAGGGCCTTGATCTTTTTTGTTATATGCTTAACAAAGGAACAGCGTGCCCCAAGGAACTGATAGTCTATGTTATTTCTAACAGATACACACCAAACAAACAATACAAAGTTTCAAAGATTTTTTTTTTTCTTTTTGAAAGTTTCCTACTCATTGTTGGATGTTTGAATACACGCTTAACATTTACTTACACATTTACTGAAAGCTTAGTGATGTTGTCAGCTTGAATAAAGGCATTGTTAAGTGCAAGTGCTGACTCGAAGCAAAGTGCACAATGTGGAGGGGGGATTGACACCAACACAGAGGCGGCTGCAGCCTCAGAAAGGGAATATTTTGAGTTATCTTTTGTATGGCAGGAAATGGGGGCATTGATACCCATCAGCAGGGAGAGGCAGGGCTGGACCTGGGAAGGGGCTTGTGCTGGAGATACTGCTGCAATGCCACTGAGGGAGCCTCCAGTGCTGCTTTTCAAAAAGCTGAGCTGCACCCTTGAATTACAGAACCATTAAGGCTGGAAAAGACCTCCAAAATCACCAAGCCCAACCTCTGACCAATCCCACCATGCCCACTAAGCCATGTCCCAAAATGCCATGTCTGCTCGTTTTTTGAACACATCCAGGGTTGGGGACTCCACCACTTCCCTGGGCAGCCCCTTCCAATGCCTGACCACTCTTCCAGGGAAGAAATTTTTCCTGATATCCAACCTGACCCTCCCCTGGTGCCCCTGCCTCTCCTCCCTTGAGAGGGCAGACCAACGAGCCCACGGACTCAGGGCACTTTGCAGAACATGCCATATAGTTGATGTTTGCTTCCTCCAAGCAGGACACCCCTGAATAACTCAGGATCATCAGAAGTACTCAGGGGGCAATGATTTAACAGAAAAAAAAGCCTTGCTCTTTTTCACAGCACTGAAATACTGTACTCTCCAATAATTTACAGGCTAGAATTGCTATTGAGATAAGATAAGAGGACTAGTTATGATAGATCTTGCACGCTGTTTTGAAGCCATGCCAGGCATTAACTTTAAAGACTTATAGCTATAAGACTATTACATGTTCTGATGCCAAAAATTGTAACCAGACCCAAGCATGAACTTCAAAATCTGCCCAGGGACTTTTGCTCTATCACAGCTTCTGAGCAATGTTGAAATCCAGGCTTTGAATATACAACCTGTGTTCAGTACTCAACAAGTCTTGCAGTACCAGGAATTTGCATTAATATAATGAAATATATGTGGGAATTATGTGTGAACTGCAGGCTTTTTGTTTTCTTTTTGTACATCTGCTCTTGTGAGGTAAAACACAAACAAGCACACTTGGATTTAAAAGCTAAAAACGAGCAGGTCACGCGATGTAGAAATGCAATAAAGGAGCAGGGTCGTTCCACGTATCAGAAATATCACCAAAAACCCAATTAATTTGATAAAAGTGCTGCCATAAGCTCAAAGTGTCCAGACATAACCAGTCCAGGATGACTCTCGGGAACATTCCTGGAGCGTGTTTTGGATAAACTACACAGCGTGACCCATCTTCTCCTGCTATTTCAGGATCAGCTTTTAACAGTGAAAAATAAGGAGGGAGGAAACCTTGCCCCACATCAGTCATCCTTTCCCTTGTGCTCAAGACCAAGTTTGACTCTTTCACAGGACTTTGAAGTCGGCCAAGAGATAGGATGTGTGTGTCCAAAGGTATGTGCTTACATACAAACATATTTGTGTCCGAGAACAGACTCACATCACACCCAGCACACAGATCTGCGAGTCCTGAGCACAGAACAGGATCTCAGATTGTTCCTGACTAAAGACAGCAACCACATGGTGGCAAAGACAACTGGTGCCCTGCTCTTTCCTCCCTTCACTTCTCCCTTTTTACTTTCCTTCTTTACGACAAACGTGTTCTTCAGAGGATCAAACAAGCAGTTCCTTTAAATCTGAGGGTTTGCAATGCATCTGCAAGTGATCTCATTTGGGAAATTCAGATAACACAGCCTTTGTTAGGTTCACTTACTCGAGACAGCATTTGCCAGCACAGAACACACGTGTTTTATTTCATTATGAGGGCAGAAAACGTCTTCAATTTAGAAATAAGGTATTTTTACTATGGCATGTAAGTGTAGCAAACTATCAAGTCTTACAGTCATCCATTCACCAGTTGTCCAGACCAGAACACACTGTGAGCTCACAGACTTTTCCAATCACATCATAACTGCCTGTTGGCAGGTTTTGTACTGAAATGGCAAAAAAACCCCAACCAACTCCTCAGATCAATCACAAATACCTCTAACTAGACCCTTTTTGGACTACTGCTGCATTGCACACATTCCATGAGTAATTAATGTTCATTTGGGTATTCCAACTTTTCTATCAGCACAATGACAAGAAAAGTAAAACCTAAAGATCAGCGTTTGATCAAAGCCGTGCCAAAAAGAAAAAGTTAACATCAAAAATCTCGTGGTTGCTGTAGATTCCTGCATATGATTAAGCTCTGAAAAGAATAATTAGAACTAAGCAAGTTTGTTGCCCATTAATTTTCTAGGAGGAATCATGATGGATGTCACAGATAATGCACCTTTTTGGAGATCCCACTGAAAATTCTCTCTGTTGTCAAAAAGCTTCATATGCAGTGGCCAGAGCCTGAATGCTGATGGCTATTCCTGAAGCTCCCAGCACCCTCCAATCTTCTTCTGAATCAGACAGGGAAGCTTTTACCACACAGAAAACTCTTAAATACAGAAGAGAACTTACCCCAGGTACACTCCAGAACATCTCTTCTGAAAAACTAACTAATGTTTTCTTCTGTTTAGAAATGCATTTTTTATTCTACATCTTCAAAATGTCACTTTCTGCCCCAAGAGTAACAGAATTTATGATTATTAACTGCTGAGACGAAGAAAAAGGGATTAAAAAATAAAAGTCCAGGCCAATTTTTAAGTGTCAGAGGTTTTGGGTTTTTTCCCTGAATGGAAAACAAAACTTATTTGGTTAAATTTTTCCAGGTACAGAATGAATCCCTGTCCCTCAGCTGTGCTAACTGGACTTGCATCACTGTTACACAGTATTTTTTTTTTCAGTTAAACGGGCTTCCAAATGCCATGTAAACATGTTTGCTGTTGAATGGCTACACCATACCTGACCTTGGAAGTGCTTTGTGTTGGCCAGAGAACAAAGAAATGAAATGTTTTGCTTTCCAGCCCAGATATCCTACACTTTGAAAAGCTCTTAAAAATGTAAATGAGATAATAAGCTCCACTGCAACAATGTGGGTGAATTACAGCTGTAGAAAGGGAACATTCATTTGATTTATTTCTAAAAATGGAAAGGATCCTAAAATAAAATCATATTGTTTTGGTCTCACACCGCATTGGGAGGCACGAGAAGGATGGAAGAGAAGAGTCATGGCTTGGAGAACACACCACTGGAATATTACAGGCTGGTTTTGGGAGCTGAAGTGGAGTTTGTGGACGAGTCCATCACGGTCACTGTGGAACAGGAGACATTGGGGACCAGCTGATGTGGAAGGCGAAAAGAACATCCCAAACTGCAGCTCTGGGTAGGCACTTTTCCCCTCCTATCATTCTACTGTGGGTTGATTACCACCAGAAAAAGGTTTAATGAAGTTTTATTTCAACCCCAGCTCTGCTCGTGGGAGGTTGGAGCCCTTTGGAGACGAGGGAGCAGCACACGTGGAGCTGCTGCACGTGGAGCTGGGACTGTGGCTCCCAGGGGTGCTGGGATGATGCACAGGACCAGAAGAATTCAGAGGGATATCTGGGGCAGACTGAGACTTGAAAAAGGGTGTTTTTTAAAAAACCCCAACTTGTAAAGCATATACTTTTGACAAGGAGTCCTAGAGAGATAAAAAGGTACGATGCCAGCATGGCCAAATCCCTGGTGGAGGCAGGAATGAACTGTTGGTGTTTGTTGCAGGGTTTAATTTAAATCAGCTAAAAGCTGGGAAGAGAAAGAGTCCTAAGAACCACAGGAACAAGTATGAAATGGGAATGTGGATTTAGTCTCTAATATATGAAAACTGATTTGACTATCCTTTAACCACAGAATATTTTGTAAAAGAAGGGTTGGATTCCCTGAAAGAAAATTCAGTTCTTAAGAACTACATAAACAGAAATAATTACTATTTTTAATTTCTTGCTATTGATTATTACTGTGAAGATACTGCATTTACAAAGGTGTGAAGTTTTGCTTCTTCCACCTGAAATAATTTCCTACTTTTGCTGCGCTCCTGAGAGTAGACAGGACTTGATTCCTGATTCCATCACACC